GAATAGCTAACTCCTTGGCAGACATAGGATACTGTTGCTTGGCTGGGATTTTTGCCCCATGTTTCAGATCAATTGTGCAATCACAGTCCTGATGTGGAAGAAGTACAGTAGCTTCCTCCTCCCCAAAGACATCTGTGAAAACAGCATACTTGGTGGGCAACTCCATCCCCCCAGCCTGGATGCTTGCCTTGGGAGCCAAGGAGAGCATGGCTATTTGCCCCTGGTGGTGCTGGCAATCTTGAGAGGAGAAAGAGAGTGGCCCTGTTGCCCAATCTACTGTAGGGTTATGGAGCCATAGGCATGCTGTGCCTAGCACTACAGGCACTTACAAAGAGGCTGTTATGTAAAGGGGTAGGAACTCTGTGTGTTCATCGATGGTGAACTGCAATGGAGTCATGCACTGCACAATGGGACCTGCCTTCAAAGGTTGGCTGTCTATAGTCTACTGTCAGTCTGCAAACTCAGTTCCCAAATTCAGTAAACCCTCTGGAGTCTATTTGATTTCTTTATTGAGAAGCAGCATACAGCACACTATAGTTTGTTGAGTCTGATTTTCCCTAGTGTAAAGCTTTCCTTTTAACCCCTCCCCCCCCCCTTCTTTACTGTTCCCGCTTGAATTTCTTCGTGCCTGTTCCCGGGTCTCACGGCTGCTTGACCTTGTTGGCGCCTCCAACCAAGATAACGGTTACACCTGGCTCTTGTTGTTTTATTTCCCCCCTCCTCCTGACTTTTATGGCAGGAACCAGCAAGCGGTTATACAAATCATAGTGTTATCTTGAACTAACATTCAATCCTACTAACCATACATCACTATTCCACATTCTTAACACGCTTTCTACTGGCTTTGAAGAACAGCTTGCGCAGGTCCTGACATCTACTTCCATGGGTCTTGGCAGGTCCACAGTAGGTAACTGCCATCTCTGCACTGCCTGTACATCCATGAATTTTGTGATAGCTGCTGAATCAATAAGAGCTTCCAGTTCTACCTTACAACCAGATTCTAAGGTTATTGTAACGGGTAAGAAAAATCCTTGCCTGTTCTCTTCAGAATGAGTTCTCCTTATTTGCTGGATGGCTCCCCTTGTGAGCTCTCATGAGAGGGGTCAGTGAAGTTTCCCTGGTTTGCGGCTGTGGCAGAAATTGGGCGCTTGCTGGTAGCTTGTTCTAATGGTCTAGCCCGTCATTGGACATGCTCTGACCACATGCCCTGAGGTCAACAGTAAAAACAGAGACCCAAATCTCATCTCTGTCTCTCCTCTGCAGAGACTGATCTCTTGACAGCTCCAATTTGCATTGGTTCCCTTGCCCCTGGATGTCAGGCTACTGTAGGGAGAGGAGGGAGAGCTGTGAGGGGCAATCCGTAGCCACCTCTGCCTCTGACACCCTGCTTCTGCTTTAACTCCTGCAGTCAGGCATCAATTACTATGCAATACTGGTACAGTTCATCCAAAGTGGCTGGGGTCCCCTGCCTTACCAGTTCAACCCCTCCCTAAACTGGTCAATAAGGGCCACCTCATTCCATCCAACATCTCTGGTGAATAGTTTAAAATCTGCAATGTATAATCTTACTCTCCTGTTGCCCTGTTTGAGTTTCTGAATCTCCCAATTGGCCATGACCCTCTTGATGGGATCCCCAAAATGGCCTCTAAATCTCCTGAGGAAATTTTGATAGTTGTTCAGCATTGGGTCACTGCCTTCTATCATGGGTATAGCCCATTTCGCTGCTGACCCCTTCAACAAGCTAATATAAAGGTCACCTTGGTGCAGTCAGTTGGGAACTCTGCGGGTCTGTTGTCCATGAATATCTTGCACTGAGTAAGGAAGGTTCTTAATCGGTTTACATCCTCTCCGTATTTCTCTGGTAAGCTGCCATGAGAGCACAAAAGCACTAGTTGTGCCCCTGCCACCAGTCCGGCTGTGGGCTGCTGGACATTTTGACCAAACTGTTGCAACAGCTGCATCATTGTGGTTTGTAAATTATTGACCTATGGATCCACTTGCTGCTGGTGCTGCAGTAAGGCTGCAGGTGCTGCAGTAGTCTGCTGTGGAGTTATCGGTGCTCCTTGAGGATTTGTGGCCATGCTCAAATTTTCTTCCCCCTTCTTGGGAGTAAGGAGTCTGGCAAGATTGATGTCAGACCCAGCTCAAGAACAACAGGGAAACAGTCCATCTAAATTCAGTTCCTTTATTGCTTACACCACAGAGACTTCTTGCCAGACTAAATCTGTACTATAACTTAGTGGATATACCCTTGGAGATTCTAGGCAGTGGCTATCCTAAATCTCTTCCTCTTCCCACGTTCCTGCTCAGGACTGTGCTGTCTCTTGTCTTCCCCCCTTTCCTGGAATGGGCTCCCTCCTTCCTGAGAAGCTGCTGCTCCATTGCATTCCATCACAGTATCCCACAGTCACATGGGAACCAAGATGAAGAAGCAAGGAAGACAGCAACATCCAAGTACCACCAAAGGATAAGACAGGTCCTGAAGAGTCAGCTTGATGGGAAGAACAAGATCCATGCCATCAACATGTATGCCCTACCAGTCATCAGATACCCTGCCAGTACAGTGAGCTGGCCAAAGGAGGACATGGAGTCTGCTGATGTGAAGATCCAGAAGCTCCTCACAATGTACGGAGGTTTCCACCCCAAGTCCAGCACCCAGAGATTATACACCAGCTGGAAAGAAGCCACTGTCCTGTATGGAACCCAGAGCATCCATGAGTACATCAGTAAGATGGCACCCAAAGATGAGTTACTAAGAGAATGCCTGAGGCGGCAGCAAACATAGGAGGAAGTTCAAGCAGAAGAAGTGCCATGGCAAGACAAGACCTTGCATGGGATGTACCATCAACAGATAACTGACATTGGGAAATCCTACCAGTGGCTGGAAAAGGCAGGACTAAAAGACAACACTGAGGCACTGATCATAGTAGCACAAGAACAGGCACTAAGCACCAGATCCATAGAAGCAGGGGTCTACCGCATTAGGCTGGACCCAAGGTGCAGACCCTCCTCAGTTCAGATGGGAGATTCCACAGAAGGCTGTGGAAAATAATAGGGCTAAGATCCTATGGATAGGCAGGTACTGGGCTAAGGTAACAGGGACAGGCAGGTACTGGCCAATAAATAACAGGGCTAAGATCCACATGGACAGGCAGGTACTGGCCAATCAGTCAGACACTGTAGTAGTAGATAAGGACCAGAAGACAGCAGTGGTAATAGATGTATCAGTGCCAAGTGACAGCAACATCAGGAAGAAGGAGCATGAGAAGCTGGAGAAGTACCAGGGCCTGAAGGAAGAA